GTCAACCTTGGAGGGCAAGGAGCAAAAAGTGTTCTTCAAGTTCCTCTGACCAGATTAGTATAGGCCTCAAAGTATGGCTGTTAAACATCCAAGAAGGTTAGTTCCACCAGTCTGGAACTTTTAATTACCATATGCTATATAGATAAAGCTTGGGCAAAAACCAAACGTTCTCAGATAAACCTTGACTAGACATATATTATGTTCCTTGAGCTAGTTGTGTGTATAATTGTATAATTTGTCAGTAGATTGTTGGACTAATATGGTTCCATCTTGTTTAGGTTTTTTTTTTTTAACTAGCTAGCATTATTTCTCTCTCTCATTGTCTAGCCCTTGCACCATGGTTTCCCCATTTAAAATGCCCCCATTTTTCCCATTTCTCTCTTAATAATACCCTTTTCCTATGGTTCCACCTCTTGAGCTACTTCTTTCCCTTTATCCCCAAGGTTCTTTGTATAGCCCTCCCTCACCCTCCCATTAAGGTAACCCCATTTTTAATCCATATCTCCCTTAGTAACACTGCAGACCCTAATGTTATCTAACGGAGTGTTGGCAACTGATTGCTGCTAGATGAGGAAGAGCTGATCTTCCTAAAATAAGGAACTCTAGAGAAGCTAACTAGACTCAGCGGATGCACTAGCACTGGGGAATGGCTGGGGGCACTGATAACACAGTGCACAGTAACCAGGATGACAGAGTATATCAGCCCTGGGGGGGCGGGGGGAAGCTATGGGAGGGTACCATTTGGGACGTGGGTATATAGATGAATAACATTGTTTGGAATGTTCTGTGTGAAATACACAAAAAAATCAATAAATAAAAATGATTTATATTTGAGGAAGAAGCATAAAAATTTGCTTCATGTTAATTAGTAGCAGTGAAAAACATTATCATTGAAATCTACCTGATAACTTTATAGCCATGGTCAGGTGCCAAGGATCTCAGAAAGTAACCAACTGTGACTAGTTATAATCAGATACATAGAGATTAGAGATGCATGTGCAAACATCTAAGTGTTAGTTGCATTAAAATGAGTTTTTCTGTATGAAAGAGTATATTTTAAAATTAAATGGAGATCTTTTTTAAAGATTAAAACCTCATTCAATTTTATGTCTTATAGGGTTTATACTGGGTACAACAATGTATTAATTCAACACTGTGACCTAAAAATTACAGCCAATTTTGAAAGAGATGCATCTTTGCTCTGAAAACTATTATTGACTATGTCAGTGCTGTTGTAATGAAATGCTTCTAATTATGTGGTTATTAAATAAATAATTTTTTAAAAAGTCATTCCAGTGATGCTCCAGCTTCCAACCTGGTGGCACATTTCCCGTCAGGGGACTCATTAATAGCATCATAGGAGGTCTTATTTAATCCCTAAAAGATTTTAGGGTTACCTCTTCAGAGGGTGGGATGTTAGAGTAGCAAAAAGCCCCATTAAAAAAAAAGGAGAGTACATAAAGTTGTCAGAAAAAAAGTGATGGGGAGATATGGGAGGAGTTGGAGGGGAGGGAGTATGTGTGGATTTGATCAAAACACCTTATATGCATTTATGAAAAATAAACAGATCACATCAGAAAGATAAATGGTGAATAATAAAGGACAGTCCCTGTTGAGAATCATTAGAAAATTCTTAATGTTATCAAAATATTTCAAAATCCAAATTTTATAATTATTTATTTCATCCTAGTTTTAATTCAAACACCAGAGTTTCAGTCCATCTACAGTCGTCAACTAATGTGTGATTTAAGCAACTACCTGTTTGTTGTTCCCAAAAAAAAGATGTTCTTCAGCCCTTTTCCAGCTGCACAGGGTCCAACTCCCTTTCAGTATGTGGAAGACTTAACTGAGCAGTCTGAGAGGGTGTAGAAGAACCTAGGAGAGAAAACCTCTGGCATGCTTGTGAGGGATTTTCTTAATTAGGTTTAACTGCTGTGGGAAGACCTACCCTAGAAGGGGGCAGCACCATTCCCCAGGCGTGGCTCCTGGACTGTGTGAAAGGAGACTGAGCCGAGTGCCCAGCATTCAGTTTTCCTCCTGACTGCAGATGTACACTGAGGAGCTGCATCAGCTATTGCCACCAGGACTCCTCGCCATGATGGATTGTACACAAGCCAGATAAACCCTTAAGTTTCTTTTGTCAGGGTATTTTGTTACAGCAACAGCAAAAGTAACTGACACAATATACATCAGGATAGATTTTTCAGAGACACATCTGACAGGTCATCCTCACTTGGATTTTAATTAGGCATTGTGCAAAACAATATCTTTTATGTGCCAAGAAGTTTTCAAACAGAAGTTGCTGGGGGGAAAGCCACCTGTTAGTATTCTGGGAGCTTTAGAAGTTATAACTTCAGATCCACAAAGTATATTATATATTTGTGGGGACCTAAAAGCTCCACCTTGCATAGGTCGGAAAGGAAGGTACTGGGGGCGGGGCCTGGCTTGCTTTGAAAGTCTGAAGAATACTTCTGCACTGCTGAGGAGTGCATGATCAGCACGTGACCATTCTTAAGATACACCCTGGGGTTGGGGGGGGGGCGGTTCCAGGTGCCTTTATAAGCTTTGGAACACTTGCAATAAATGAGTCCCAGCTTGACTAGGCTCCCCGTTGCATCTGAGTGTCCTCGGGGAATGGGGGCAGCATGGGCTGACGAACGGCGTGCTTACTCATCCCCAAATGCAGGTTCGAGTCCCCAGAAGACCATGGCATATTTGACAGTCCTTATGGCATGAGAAGCCATCTCATCAGGGCAGGCCAACACAAAATAGACATTGGAATAAGTGTCAATAATATGATGGATACACTTAAACTTGCCAAATTTAAACTGGGTCAGTACTTAGGAGACAAGAGGCTGGTGAATCTCCAAGTTTAAAGCCAGCTTTCAATACATGAGCTCCAGGCCAGTCAGGATTACATAGTGAGAACCTATCTAGAAACAACAAAAGCGAACAAAGAAAAATTAAAAATTAAATTTACCTTCTGGATGAATGTAAAAGCAAATGTGGAACACAGTGAAAACTCATTATGGATTCAAAACAAGGATGTTAAGAGGAAGGAAAAGTTAATTATTAGCTGCAAATATTCTGGAAGCAATATGATCTGCTTTTAAATGCAAAAATACGTTGCACTTGGTGATAAAGCACAAAGAAGTAGAAAAATAGATGGACGCATACAAAATGGATGAATCAGAGCAGTCAGGAGTGAAGCAAGACTTTTGTTCAATTGCAAAGACTATAGTATTTAATTAAGAGGCCTGATGAAGCTGGAGAGGTGGCGGGGAGGCTAAGAGCGCTTGATCGCTAATCATGAGGACCAGAGTTAGGATCCTAGTTCCCACCATGTAATAAGCCAAGTGTCTCTGCAAATGCCTGAAACTCCACCCCGAAGCAGGGTAGAGAGAGGAGAACTGTTGGGACCTGTTGACTTCTAGTCTAGCCAGGAGCCAAGACTTGGACCCAGGTTCAGGAATAGATTTTGCCTCAAAAATAGGTGGAGATTGATGGAAGAGGACACTGGATGCCCTGACTTGGCTGGGAAACAGCCCCACCAACCCCAGCACGCGCGTGCGCGTGCACACACACACACACACACACACACACACACACCACACGTGCACAGGTGCATACAAATATGCTCACCCGCGAATAAAAATGAAATCTTAAAAACAAAAAGCTACTAGAAGAGGCCTGAGAGACTGCTCCATCTTCCTCTGCAGATGTATCACCCCTTCTTTCAAATGCGCATTTTCACTAAGAGCATGGGAAGTCTCCTTATTCCAAAAGTAAGATTCCGAAGTCCTGATCATGCCATTTTTATGAAGCAGAAATGCTGAATGAAGTAAAATACCAGGGACACTGATGGAAACAGTAGTTTCCCCAAGAAAAGCAGAATGGCGAGTGCAAAACTGAGTGTAAAATGGCCACAATTTCTCCTTCTCAGACATATCCCCCTTCTGTAAGACTTGACAGTCCCACTTATTAAAAGGTGAACTGGCCAGGCGTGGTGCCACATGCCTTTAATCCCAGTATTAGGGAGGGGAGGCAGAGGCAGAGGCAGATGCAGGTGGATCTCTGTGAGATCAAGGCCAGCTTGGCCTATATAAGGAGTTCCAGGCCAGCTGGGGCTTTAGGGAGTCTTTTTCAAAAAATAAAACAACAAAAAAGGTGAAACCTAACCCTACCTCTTAATTTTAGTCTGGCCCAGTGATCAACACTGTCCCTATGGCACATCAGGCCTGTTCCAAGAGTGGCCTCAAGACCCCTCCAGCAGCAACTAATAGCTTACTCAAGTGTGCTGATCACTCTAAAACTGCAATAATACCATCTTCTATTAGAGTGATTCAACTTTTCTAAACTGGGCAGAGTTAAGAAACCCAGGACTCGTCAACTGAAGCCCTGGAAGACACCAGCTTTCTGCTGCTGCTGCTTCTAAGAACTTAAAGAATGTTCCATCAAAAATGAATGTCTCTGTGCTCGCTCTGGCAGCACATCCACTAAAACTGGAATGATAAAGAGATTAGCATCCTGCACAAGGATGACAGGCAAATTCGGGAAGCGTTCCATACTTTTTTTTTTGAAAAAAAAAAATGAGTGTCTCCAAGCTTCCCTAGGAAATTCACAATCAATACGTGTGAGTAGCATTTTATACTTTATGTTCATCAGCAGGGCCCATTTTTACAAGTCAGGAAATCAAATAGAAGAGCAAGTTAAATGACAATCACAAGTAGCAAATGACAAAACTACGTAAAACAACTACACCTAAATTCTGATGACCCCTCTTTAAAAGCTTCTGTTTTAAAATCTCAGGCATATAAATATGCATTTTTTTAGGTTTTTAGTTAATCAAACCTTAAGTCATCATTTCTTTTCTTTCTAAAGTAGAGATAAATGCCAGGCACATAGCTCAAAGCTTAGCACACGTTAGGTCCCCAACCCATGAACAACAGTTTCCTCCCAGGCTGAGTAACCTGTACCGGCGAATGATAAACTTGCAGACACACAGTATAAGCAAATTTATTTCTACGGTAGAAGCATCTGATATAGTTATAGAAAAATAACACTATTTCAAAATCAAAGTAAGTATGGCTACATACCCATACTCAAACATCGACATGACTTTTAGCCATTCTTGAATTAACAAGGAACAAATACATAATCAAGGTAGTCTGTCAACAGAAGAGTTGTATTAAAGCTACATATCAGCCCTGGAAACCAGAAAATACAAAGTGAACTCGTGCCACCATTTCCAACTTCAGTGTGCATTCAAATTCGCATGACTGTGATAAACCACTGTCAGGAAACGGGAAGCAGATCACCAGGTGAAGATAGGGACTGGAAATACAAAGCTCACTCATTCAGAAGGGGCAAAGTCAAAACACACTGTTGTATGAAGCATCTGCTGTTAGCTCACTACAGGATGTCCCTGAACCTCAGATTCAGGACTAGTCAGACACTTCTTCAATGAACAGTTATACAGATTAGGTCAAAGAATGTATAAGGGCTTTTCCCTATCCCTAACACACACACTTATGAGCATTGTTTCCACACCATTGTGACAGATACAGAGACATTTTCCAACCTCCCACTCTCAAATGGCTATTCTTCATTTCAAAAACCAACCAACAACTCATTGGGTTCGAGCTCATGAACTATTTCGTATTGTTTTGGCATTCGTACCATTTTTACTAGCTTCTGACATTGTCTTACAAGGTCTCAGTACATAACTGAAATGCTAAGTTCTGCTTTCAAACTAAGACAACAGAGTCAAAGAGAGAACTACCGCTTCCCAGTCCTGAGATGGGCTGCCTTTCAGAGCAACCCTGTCAGACAATCTCGGATGTTCCCCAGATTGTTTTCTCAGTCTCTCAGTCTACTTATGGATGAAACCATGGGAAGGAAATACCTACAATCTTCATCACTCCCTATACTCAATATACCACACAGTAATATTTCATAGGTAAAATGTTTTTGGCCATTTAAGTATCTATCCACATAAATATCTGAGGTTTTAATATTCTAAAACTATAAAACATAGCTACAGAGGTGCACAGTTAGGCCAGGAAAAGGTTTCTCAAAACTTGGCACTGGTGATGTCTGGGTTGGTAGTCATTCCTGTGAGGAGGAGACCCAGACATTATGTGGTGTTTAGCAGTATCTGTGGCCTCTACGTATCAGATGTGGGTAGCAACCCACTTCCTCCTGCCTTGACCACCGAGAACGTTTCCACACTGCTGGTTGTCTTCTGGAAGCCCAAACCCCACTGGAGAACCACTGGACTAGAACTTTACATAGACATAATTGTAAACTCTAGATGCACAGGTAAGACAGGACTCTGCAATATTACTACTGTGATCTATGCAATATTAGTACTGTGAAAGAGTCTAGCACTCTCTTCTGTTTATGTAGGGGCACAGTGTTTACATAACACACCACTGAAGCATACCCACGTGGAACTATCCTTTTCCTACTGAAAATACTGACATTAGACAGGAAGAAAAAAAATTACACAGCTAATCCAGCAACCACCTTTATTAACACCTGATAGGGAAAACCTACGGTTCAGAGAGACTTGCTCAGGGGAGAACTCAAGACAGTCACGGCAGGTGTCCGTCTTTCTGGATTCGAAGTCTCTCTTTCTCCACCTGCAAGCGTTCCTTTTCGATCTGCAGCTTCTCGGATTCGAACTTCAAAAACTGGAGCCTATCTTTTTCCAGCTGCAAGCGCTCTCGCTCGAGTTTCAGCTTCTCGGCATCTAGGTCCTGGGGCGGAAACATGGATTTTTCCCCTTGGCCCAGTTCGCTTTCCAGAGCGGGCTTCTCGGCGCTGACTAGCTGCAGCCTCCACTTCTCCCTCTCCATCTGCAGCCGCTCCTTCTCCAGCTGCAGCCGCTCGTGCTCCAGGTCCAGATGGCGCAGTCGCTCCCTCTCCAGCTGCAGCCGCTCCTTCTCCACCTGCAGCCGCTCCGCCTCGATGTCCAGCCGGCGCTTCTCCAGCTCCAGCTTCTGCTTCTCGATGTTGACCAGCAGGTGCGGCTCGTCATAGGCAGTTCTGGATGGTGTGGAATTGAGGGTGAAGAACTCATCAATGTGCGGGAAATCGGGAAGCTCATTTTCCCGCCGGGAATCTGGTATGACAGAGGACAACATTTCCTCCTCTTCCTCGATTTCAAACTAAAAGAAAACACAAAAGCAAATTTAGAATTTACTTCACAACTGTCCGCTTGCTTCGGTATTTCTTTTGTTCTGGTTGGTTATTTATTTATTTTTTTCTTTTTGAGACAGGGTCTCCCTGTAGGCCCAACTGACTGACCTGAAACTCACTATGTAGACCAAGCTGGCCTCGAACTCACAGAGATCCACCTGCCTCTGTCTCCCAAGTGCTGGGACTACAGGTGTGAGGCACCACGCCTGGTTGTTTTTTTAAATTTATTTGTATCTCTCTCTCTCTCTCTCTCTCTCTCTCTCTCTCGCTCTGTGTGTGTGTGTGTGTGTGTGTGTGTGTGTGTGTGTGTGTGTGTGTGTGTATGTGCACCACAGGGCATGTATGGAGGTCAGAAGACAACTTTCAGGAGACTGCCCTCCTTCCACCTTGCTGAGGCTGGTCTCCTCAGCCTTGCCACATTTCTTAAAAAATTTCTGTGCTGTCTGAGCACACAAATAAAACCACTTAATCTGAATTATGAAAATTATTTACATGAACCACCTGATGTCAATAATACATATAATTGAGATGATTATATTTATGTGCAAAGAAAGGAATTAAAGGCACGAAAAGAAGACAGAATGACTGTGTTAACCTTTCAGCTCCAGGATCTGGGAGCTTCCTGTGTCTGGACAGCTGATAAGCAAACAAGCATCCCAGGCTGGTACTTACTTCAGGGCTCTGGGGATCCCTTTCTTCTTCTTCCACTTTGACCTCTGTTAGGGATCCACCTGCATCCCGGAAATCCGCCACGTTCTGCCAGTCAAAATTTGCATCGTTTCGGAAGGCTATCTTCTCATCTATCTCCTCAGTGAGAGAGTCGTCTAAATCAGACGTGGGGAGGGGAAACCCTGAGCCAACCAGCTTCATGTTCGCCTTCATCCTCTTCCTCTTCATGAGTGCCCGCCAGTCCAGGTACCTTCTTTTCACCTCTGTCCCTGTCCTCTGCTCCCCTTCACCTACCGCGTTCACACACTGTGCAATCTCCTCCCAAGCCATCCGTTTCATTACGTTTATCGTTGTGTTGAGCTGCTTGGAAAAAATGACTTCTTTCCTTTTGGTAATTTCTTTCAAAAGGGTTTGAGTTTCCTGGACACTGAAATTGCTTTTCCTTTTCCTTTTCAACTGCTTCATTTTAAAAAAAAATTTAATGCAGGTGTATGTCAAGAAAAGACGTACAAAGAATGTGAAGCTTGTGTACAAAGCACAGAAACCAAGGACAATGCCTTGTTGGCACTTGGTTCAAATCACTGAATTTCCATTCATCCAGTAGTAGAGACAGACTGGGTAATGCCTACAGGAGAAAAATAAAGTAAAATCTCTCAGTCAATGCAGGAACTCTCCAACACAGTGCAACTCAATAAGCCAAATAATTTAAAAACACAAACAAAAAATAACTTACTAAATATGGATTCAAATTGCCATCGTGTCTTTCCCCAGAAGCTGTAATAACTAACTCAGGGCATTCTCTCTTTTTGTAAAAGATTTATTTCATTATTTTTATTATTGGGGGGGAGGGGTGTGCACATGAGTGCAGTTATCCCCAGAGCCAGATGGTGTGGATCCCCTAGAGCTGGAATCACAGGTTGTTACGGGACACTAATATGGGTGCTAGGAACTGAACTGAAGTCCTCTACAAGAGCAGTATCTGTTCTTAACTCCTTCTGCCATCTCTCTAGTTCTTCAAGGCACTCTATCACCAGCTTCCTTCTCCCTCTGTTTCCAGACTCCGACCACACTGACCTACTTCTGACCATACACCTTCAAGCTTTCTTCCAGAGTCTTTGTCACACTGCTCCCTTTGTAGCATAGTCAATTCCTTCCCATTCAAATGGTGGACTGAGTGAACTGTTTCTCACTGAAGCCTTTCCTCATGACTCACATCATTCTAACAAAGTCTCTGGGAGCTTTTCTAGTCTAAATTTTTCCACTAGAGTAACGTGTAATTAATTCAGGGTTTATCTTTTCCCCGGATAAGCAAGCTTCACAATGAGGCAGGGAAGCTGCTCACCATCACCTTCCCAAAGCAGTTTCTGGCACATGGTAAGCACACCACAGACCTATGACGAATGAGTCAACTTGCCAAAAAGACCATGAATTATTGATGTAATGATCTGAACATGAAATGTAATTCCAGAATCAGGTTAACGCACTTTCCCAGCCTGGTGGGAAGAACCTGGAATTATTTTTTTACATTTATTATATGTATATGTGTAAGGAGGGGAGACATGTGTGGACATATGTGTGACAGTCAGAGGAAAACCTGCGGCAGTCAGTCTAAGCAGGGTGTCAAACTCAGGCTGTCAGCTTGGTGGAGGGCACCTTTAGCCACTGAGCAGTATCGTTGGCCACATTCTGGAACATTTAGGAGGATCTAGCTACAAGAAGGTCATGGGAGGCACGTCCTTGGGGATCATTATTTTACCCTGACCCCTTTCTGCATTGCTCTGTAACCTTCCGGTTGGTCAGGGTGCTAGCTGCTCTGTGTGTTAGCTGCTTTTCTGGTTGCTGTGACAAAGTACCTAACCAGAAGCCATGTAAAGGAGGAACGGTTTGTTCTGATTTATAGATCCATGGATCACTCTGTTTTGGTTTGGAAACTGTGAGAGCAGGAGCAGGAGGCAGCTGCTCACTTTGCATCTGCAGCCAGAAAGCAGAGAGCGATGAAAGCTGTGCTCAGCTCCCTTTCTTTTTGTTCTTTCCAGGGCCCCAGCCCACAGAGCAATGCTGCCCACATTTTGGGGGGGGGGTGTCTTTGGAACTCAATTAACCTATCACAGAAAATCCCAGAGGTTCATTATCATAGTGATCCTAATCCAATCAAAGTGCTTAACCACCACTCTCATGAGTTATGTCAGGTATTTTGTCACATTGAAAAAAAAAAAAAATAACAGAAAACTGGAACCGGAGAAGTGGGTCACTGAAGGGCAGATCTGGCAACCTTGTGGCTCTTATGCCTTTGGAACTAGCTTGTGGGAGGAATTTAGAATAAAATTGGAAGAAGCAGGCTAGAGAAAACCTAGAATATTGTGAGCAGGGCTTAATGAGCAATTCTGATGGGAGGTTACACCAGAATGCTTACAGGAACGTGGACAGCAATACCAGGTTCATGAGGTTTCAGATGCGAGAATGACTCTATTGAGAAACAGAAAAGGTCTGTAAACATTACATTCTGGAAAAAAAAAAATTCTACATTTTGTCCAAGTCCTAAGACTTGATAGGAATCTGAGTTTAAGGTGACGGACAAATTTAGCAAAGGAAATTCCAAGACACTCCAGAGTCCGCGCTGTGGCATGCATTCGACACTCCAGTGTCCATGCTGTGGCATGTGTTCTGCTGCTTCTTTTAGTCAGATTTATAATGAGAATTTGGACCAAAAAAGCAAAGGTGAATCTGAAAAACATAGTTTGGTGCTGTGAACAAAGTGGGTATAGTTGTTAAGAGATTAGTGCTATTAGGGACTTTAAACAATTGCCGAATCCTTAGTCAAAACTAAATTATCTCCTAAAGGCAAAAAAATTTGAACATCTACAGAAATGGTCTAGTGTCATGTACATGTAATGCCTTATAAATATTAGGTCAGCCAAGGGCTCACGGAGCTACAGTTAACACTCTGATCATCCTGCAACATTCACTGATCACTGCTATAGATGGACTCTTCCTTCCTTACAACAAGAGAAGTTGAACGGGTAAAGCACTTCCAGTCTACCACTGTCTGCCCATCAACTCTTCTGCTGATACAGAAAAAAGTACTGAAGAGCTGTAAATTTTATTCCCCAACACAGAATTCCATAGACATACCACCTTTCCCAGTTATTAAAAAAAAGACCAAGAGGTTGATTTGCACAGTGTGGCCAGTTAAATGGCAGGAATACATTCATCCCCTATATCTTCTTTACTTTGACTTACTGGTAACTTGTGTTAGCTAAAACTTGGAGATACATTGCTAATGTAAGCTTTGAGATACCATTCAGCAGCTCTTCAAAAAGAACAAATTCTTATCTATGTGGAAGACTCCGATAAAACTTCACATATAGGCAGAAAAAGTCCTCAGAGCTCTAACCAGTCGCATTCGCCCTATCATGAGTTAAAGTAAATTAGGGAGACCAGGCCTGAAGAATCCCTAAGCAGACAAATTTGGTTAGACCTATGTGGTGGTTTGAATGAAAATGTCCCCCATAGGCTCCAAGTATTTGGACATTTTGTCCCCAAGATGATGGTGCTGTTTCGGGAGGTTTTAGAAGGTGTGGCTATCCTGGAGGAAGCATGTCACTGACGGTGGGCTTAGAGAGTTCTTAAGCCTTGCCAGATCTCCAGTCACTCTTTTGCTTCCCATGCCTGCATGATGATGTGAGAGCTTAGTTTCTGCTGCTCCTGCTCCAGCCACCTCCAGCCACCATGCCTCCCTGCCATGATGAACTGTAATTCCCCTGGAACCATAAGCTCAAAAAAACTCTTCCTTCTACACATTGCTTGGGTCAGTGTTTCTATCACAGCAACAGAAAAGTGATTAATATAGTAACTGGTACCAGACAGTGGGCTGTTGTCTGGGAAGAACCTGACCATGTGGGGTTTTGGAAGAATGTGGAAGACTTTGAAAGCTTGGGCTAGAAAAGAAGTTGATTGCTATAAGTAGAGCTTAACAGGCCATTCTAGTAGGTATCTGGAAGAAAGCAGTGCTGAGAACAATGTAGTTCCAGAGGGAAACAAGGACCTAAGCAGCACTTGGGATATTCAGGCAAAGAGTCTGGCTGGAGTCTGCCAAGAGCCAAAAAGCTTGCCTGAGGCTAAGTTGAAAAGCCATGGACTAATTTCTCTAGCAGAAGAAATTTTAAGACAGCCCAATGTAGAAATGGTGGCATGGATATTTATGGTGAATATTACACAGATTTACAGAGAAAAAGAACAAACGGGACAGAAAGAAATACAGAATGTACAGGATGGATTGAAAAAGCACTAGGAAGACTAATGTTGGAGCCCTGGCATGTGATGGAGAGGATCCCATTGATAAGGAGATTAAAGTGATTAAGGAGGGGCCTAGAGATTCAAACTTAAACAACGGAGACAGTGCCTCCAGGGCAAGACTACACCCAGCTTAGCCTCCAACTTGTGAAAGGAAAATGCTGCAGGGATCACTGAAGAGAAAAGCTTCTAAAATAGATAAAGCAGGCTGGAGTCCATCCCAAACTTGCAGTCAAACTTGGCAGTGTCCTTCACCCAGTGCTGGCTTTAGAGGCATGAAAGATGCAAGAGTGAAGGGGTCATCAGTTCTTCCTCCGCGGTTTCAGAGAGCCCCTGAGACCAGGCAGCATGAAGCAGGGGTGCCCCTACCTAGAGAAGGCCCTGATAGGCCATTGCGTGAAGCTGTGAAGGTGAAGCCTGGTTGGCAATGGAAACCCTGAGAAGATGTCCATAATGCCGGAGCTGTGAGGCATCTGCCAAGAAGACCTGCATACAGGGAGTGGTACCAGCACAAGAGAGAGATGTGTGTTGCACACAGCAAAGCTAGAGAGGCTGAGCCATCTAAGCCCTTTGGAAGTAAAGTCCCAGAAGTCAAATGTGGAGCTACTGGATTTGGTGTTTGCCCTGCTGGTTTTTGGTCTTGTTTTGGTCCGGTATTTCCTTATTATGCCTCCATTCCTCCCTTTTGGAGTGGTAATGTGTATTTGGTTCCACCGTATGTTGGGAGTATGTAATTTGTTTTTAGATTTTATAGGGGCTTATAATTTAGATATTTACCTCAGTCTCAGAATAGACCTTGGACTGTGGACTTTGCAACAGTAGTGAGATTGATAATGACTATGGGGACTTTTAAAGTTGGACTAAATGCATTTTGCATTTTATATGGTCATGAGCCTATGGGAGCCAGGGGGTAGATTGTGGTGGTTTGAATGAAAATGTCCCCCATAGGCTCCAAGTATTTGGACATTTCGTCCCCAGATGATGGCACTGTTTTGGGAGGTTTTAGAAGGTGTAGCTGTCCTGGAGGAAGCACATCACTGAGGGTGGGCCTAGAAAGTTCTTAAGCCTTGCCAGATCTCCAATTGCTCTCTTGCTTCCTGTGCCTGCATGATGATGTGAGAGCTTAGTTTCTGCTTCTCCTGCTCCAGCCACCTCCAGCCACCATGCCTCCCTGCCATGACAGACTGTAATACAACTGGAACTGTAAGCTCAAATAAACTCTTCCTTTTATAAGTTGTTTTGGGTCAGTGTTTCTATCCCAGCAACAGAAAAGTGACTAATACAACCTAGTAAGTGACCATAACCTTGTTGGACTCCCAAACACAGAAGAAA